TGTACTAAGCAACTTTATTTCATTATCAAATATAAATTTCAATTTCCTATTACATTTATATCAAATAAGATTGAATCCGGAATACGGCGATGCGATTGATATTTTTTAACTGCATATTTAGCAGCTTCACTAGTTAATCCTTTACGATATGCATCTATATATCTAAAAGATTTTCACGCATACCTTCTAATTTCACTAAGTGGTACTGATGCTAGAGCTTGTAGTACTGTTTTTTTTAAACCCTCCCAAGTATAGTCACAATGGCTCCATAAATATCGTTTTGCTGATCCCCAAAAATTTTCAATATAATTTAACTCACAATGAAATTTTGGATAAAATATAACTTCATGGCCTGCCAAAATAATTGTTTCTTCAAGTTTTCTGCGCTGTGCTTTAAAATCCGGTTGGTTTGCTATTGCTGTTCTTGCATAACAATTAATGCTTCCTTCTTCACATCCACCTTTACACTTCAACTTCATTTCATCATGCCACAATTTTCTTTCCTTTAAAATTTCTCTTAAACCTTTTGGTTCTTCGCGCAATTCAGGGATCTTGTAATCCATAGGGAAGCACATATCTTGTCTAATGTTATTTCTATACGTGGTGCTTCTGCATATTTGTATACAAAACATAAATATAATAAAAAATTTAATGAATTTAATATAAATAAACATAAAAATGTACCTTACACGAGGTAATCTAGCATATACTCATACACCTCATACAAATTGCATAAGGTGTGTGAATATATATGTGAGATTTACTCCACATGAGATACATTTCTAAACAAACCTCATTTTTGCTTGTTTTCCACCAGGTGACAAATTCATATTATTTGCTACAAGAGCGTTATCTGTATATGCAGCATGGCTGGTTGCATTATCGAATGCAAAAAGGGCCTTCGTACCTAGAAAATGTGCCTTAAATATTAGGATTGCACGCTTTACCACTTGGTTCACTAAGTCATCAGAATTCTACCACCCATTATCATTTTTCATTTTTCTCTGTATATGTTATAACGCATGCTTCTGTTAGAATATTAGAAAAAAAAAACTAAAAAACTTTAATTAAAATTGTCTCACCGCAAAAAAGATAAATCAAAATAAACAAAACTTTTATACCTCGTCTTCTTTACGCAGTACCAACCGCCCAGCAACATCAGTAAGAAAATCGCTTACATGAATAGACCATCCTTGTTCTTTTTTACGAAGTGGTTGTTCTCCCTTTGGTTTTTATAATCGCGTCTTCTATCATATGCAGAAAAAATATATTCATTATGTGTTACCAGAATTATAACTTGATTAACATCTGGCCAGGTTTCTATTTCTATATTTTCACCTGAAAAACTAATCATTTTTTTTTCATAGTTCACCATCCTTTCTAAAAAAAGTTTTCGGTAAGCTAAAACGTCTGCTTGCTCGTGGCCATCCATGTACATGCTTTTTTTAACTTCTGAATATTCAAACCCAAACTCATTCATCTATCTGCGGGCTGTTCTTATACTTATTTTTGGTGATAGATCAAAACAAAGTTTGGGAAGCACCTCATCATTTATATAATTTGTCAAATCTTTAGAAGAAATACACCATTTGTTTAATCAAAGAAAAGATTTGATCTGTAATAAAACATCATCATCACACAAAAACTTCGTGTTTTCAGATGTTTTCCTTGTCTTGATACTGGCAAAGTGCCATTTTGAAGGTAGTTTAATATCCAAGCTCGTATAAAACGAGCACGATAAATGTTTTTTCTGGTAGCTTTAGCCACAGTAACACTAGTCTTAGTTTTTCCCTCACCACATTTTATAAGGCGAAGGTAAAATAATATTGCATTGAGGCGGGCACTTTCAATCTCATTGTGACTGTTACTTTTAACTTCGTTTTTCAGTTGTTCAATAGCAAGATTATATAAATTTACATTGTCCTCAATTTCTGAGACAGATTCTGTTTCAGTTTCAGAATTATTATCCGAACTGGAAGAATTAACATCCGTGGTTACCTATCATAATCCCAAAGATAAGCCCAAATCTATAATTTATTAATTAAACAAAAAAAAAAAAAAACTTATTTGTGACCAAAATGATTCTAATTTAGATGTTCTGACTGCTGCCTCCCGTTGTATTTGCCTCCGGCGCCTTCTTGATCTTTTTGAATTCCTAACATACACAAGTGGTCGATAAGTACTTACTTCAGAAACTGCCTGCAATAACCTTTTAAAGGAGTTATTTGCTTCATTATTTGCTTCGTTATTCACTTCATTATTCACTTCATTATTTGTTTTATTATTTGTTTTGTTATTTGCATTGCGCTGACGTTTGGCTTTCCTTATTTCTCGACTTTTCTTTAATTGTAACTTTCTTTTGGATAATTGTGGCATAGTTTTTGGTGATATACGGCGGTGTTATAGTTTGGTTTATAATTAACAAACAGTAATAGGAA